GGGGGGGGGGGGGGTAGTATCCACCCAATGGAAGGAGGGACAGGAGGTAATGGGGCCAGAGCCAACTGGGACAGGCCACCCAGTGGAAGGAGGGACAGGAGGTAATGGGGCCAGAGCCAACTGGGACCGCGGAATGAGGTGAGGCTGTGGGTAGAGTTCGGATGTTAGTGGGTGTGACAGCGGGTAAGTCGACAGCAGGAGGGGAACAGCGGGGAGGAGTTGAGAGGCGACAGGGAGAGGGGGCCGGCTCCTGACCTCGGCCATCCTGCCGCGCTCCGGGGGTGCCTCGGAGGCCGCGGTGGAAGTCGCAGGCTCTGGGGGGGACTCCGAGGAAGGGGCTGTGCGCGGGGCCGAGCGTCCAAAGCCCCCGCGTTACTTCTACTTCTGGAGGCGGGCCGGTGGCGAGTGGGCGCTGGGCGCGTCCTCCCGTCGCCCGGCAACCACCTCGCCCTCTAGGGGCGCTGGCGGAGGTTCGAGGGGGAGGAGCCCCTGAGGCGCGCAGCCCGGCGTGGTTCCCCCAAGGAATATGCAAATATATGAGCGGGGCGGGGCCAATGAAATTAGGGGGCGGGGCCTCTGGGAGGCTGGGGAGTCCCTAGGTGAGCTCAGGAGTTGAAACGCCGAAGAGACGGGAGAGCGAAGGGCTGGAGGCGAGCGAGGGAGAGGACGGTGGGGGCGGGGAGNGGGCCAATGAAATTAGGGGGCGGGGCCTCTGGGAGGCTGGGGAGTCCCTAGGTGAGCTCAGGAGTTGAAACGCCGAAGAGACGGGAGAGCGAAGGGCTGGAGGCAGGCGAGCGAGGGAGAGGACGGTGGGGGCGGGGAGCCGGCGAAGGGGAGCCGGGAGACTAGCCCCCCCAAGGACTTGGGGGTCAGACTGCGGCGATGAGGGAAGGACCGCCAAGTCCTCCGGATTCGAGTCAGTTACAGCCCATAGGGGGCAGGGACTGTGCGCAAGACACAGGCGGGGAAAACGAAGGTGGAGGAGGCGAGGGCCCTGCCTTCGAAGGGTTTGGTCACTGGTGGTGAGAAAAATGGGGCGCAGACCTCAAGACACCCTGGGAAAGCGAATTTGGAGCCTCGTCGTGGAAATCTGCCTTGCCCCTGGGGCTCCTCTCCCAAGCCCTTTCTCCCCCCCCTTCACCTTGGCCCCCACGCCTGTAGGCTTCAGAGTTTTACTTTTCCACGGTCAGCTCTCTAATCCGTCTGGTGTTCATCTCTGTACGTGTGTGAGATAGGATTCGAGCTGACTTTTCTCAATGAAGTGAGCCAAGTTTTCAACATCTTGGTTCCAAAATACACCTGGGCCTGTTCTGAGATCTCTGGTTTGTCCCTGGGTCAGTCAGTACCATGGGCTTTGTAGCCAATCCTCATGGTTAAAGGGCAAGGCCCCCACCCATAGTTCTTCCGTCAAAATTCATGAACCTTTATCATCCCATATAATTTTTAGGATGTTTTGCAAGTTCCTCATGTTAAATTTTTATTGGAACATCATTGAATTTATGAATTAATTTGGGGAACATTAACATCTGTACAGTGATCTTGTTCATGAACTGAGACTGTATATCTGGCGGACAAACAGGGCAGAATACGACTGGACACAGTGTGCGTGGAGGTAGTGGGAGAGCTGGCAGACGAAGCTGAAGAAGCATGTTGAACCAAGCTGTGACCCAAGCTAATAGAAACGAGGTGGAGCTGGGCAGGCATCACAGCTCAGGTTTCTTGGTATGTTTACAGGAAACCTGACTGCACACTGGGACCACCAGCTGTGGGACCACCACAATCTAGAGAGACTCCATAACATCCCTGAAGGTACGTAACATCAGAGGTGGCCTAGCGGTCCCTGTCTGGTACTCTTGTGGGGTTCTGTGTCTTCTCATTTCCCAGGAATTTCCTAAAGGACCATTGTGCAAGCAGGTGGCCTGCCAAGGCAACAGTAATTCAATCCAGAAAACACTCTTTTTAAGTACCTGCTGCATAGCAGGCAGAGGCTGCCACAAAAACCACAGAGGTGACTAAGGCAGAGTCACTGCCCTTTCTGTTGGAGGAAAGGAAGAAAGGAAAATCTACAATTCTAACACAATGTGATGGTATCATTTAGACCATGCCATGTCAACAGACAGCACTGTGGGTGCTCAGGGAATCTAGACACTGACACTTGAGAGCATTACTTATGAGGTGAGGAAAGAAAGACCCGGACATGGGTAATCAGGGACCCACAGGAGGTTGAAAGGAACGTGACACGTTCGACTCACAGGAAAGAGATGCAGGTGGACATGAACATGGATGAGCATGTGGGTGGTGGACAAATTCATATATGCCGATGAAAGAAAATGCTTTGCTTCTAGTTTTTCAGATTACAGAAAAATACTCCCCAACCTGCTCCCCTTTGTTGTTTTAATACAAAGGAGCACTAGGTGGCATCATACTACCAAAAGTCCTCACCACTTAGCACCTCCTGGAGTAACAGTCCCAACCAAGATGGGGCAGCCCCTAACTTAGACAAATAGACGTGCTTCTACCATTCTCATTTCTCATTACACCCACTTAGTTTATTTATTGAGCACCTACTATATTCCCAGCTCTATGCTGCACACTGTGCGGGATAGGAAGGAGTTGAAAGGACCTCCTCCCTAAAACAGAAGAAACGGAACATGCATGCCACCTCTCCCCCACACAAAAATTGTAAAACAGTCCAAGGCAGGATGTAATAAGCACTGAAATGAAGATGTGAAGACATACTACCCAGTGTAATCTGACCCTTTTGATCTTCCGGGCCTTCCTACCACTCCTTGTCACACTGGATTCCTCCATTCCTCATCTGTCATGTTCTTTCCCACCACTTGGGATTCACTGACACTGAGCTCTCTGTCTAGAATACTCAGCCCCCCCTCTTCACCCAGCTGATGCCCATCCATCCTTCCTACAAATCTCACTTCCTCAGGGAGACCTTTCCAGACCAGCCCCTCAACACCAGACTACCTTTCCAAATACCATGTGTTCCACTTCTTGGACCATCCCACAATGGTAATTAATTATGTATTCACGGAAATGGTTGTCCATTATGTGTCTTCTCTACCAGGCTGTCAAACAACAAGAGGATGCAGGTCATGCATGTCTTGTTCAGCCCTTTCTCCACTGATGTTATAGGCTGAATTGTGTTCCCCTAAAATTCATATGTTGAAGCCCTAACCCCCAGTACCTCAGAATGTGACTGTCATTGGAGATAGGGTCCTTAAGTGGTGATTAAGTTAAAATGAGGCCATTTGAGTGGGTCCTAATCCAACCCGATTGATGTCCTTATAAGAAGAGGAAATTTGGACACACAGAGAGACACCAGGGAAGCACACACACAGAGGAAAGACACAACAGAAAGAGGCCATCTGCAAGGCAGGCAGAGGCCATAAAAGAAACCAAAAATCTTGTTCTTTGATTTTTAGCCTCCAGAACTGTGAGCAAATAAATTTCTGTTGTTTAAGCCACCCAATCTATAGTTCTTTATAATGGCAGCCCCAACAAACTAATATAAATGACCATCACTCCTCTCAGTATGTAACTATTAAGTGAATGGCTATTGAATGAGTTCTAAAATAAGGAAGACCAGTGAAGGATGGCATTGTTAGGGTAAGGTACATGGACTTAACCTTAAATGATACATATGAATTATAGACGTGGAAGGAAATAGAAGAAATTCCAAGTATGGGAAATAGCACTGGGCAGATACCACGGCAAGAACACCAAATGCTAAGAGGGTGTAGGTGAATAGCAGAGCTTTGGAAGGATAGTAGAGAAGCAGCTGTGAACTCAGACCAGGGACAGCCACAAACACACCCATTTTCCCTGCCAGATAACTTGAATATGTGATCATGAGCTGCAATACCTCTGCAAAGCTCCTTGTTTAAACCTGGACATAAGTGCCTCCTATAGCACCCTGCTAGGGCATCTAAGCTGTGTGCTGTGACTCTGTAATAAGAACAGTGCTATGTACACAGTGCTCACCTCTTCAGCAGCACCCAGGGAGGCTATAATGTGAAACTCCTGAAAAGCAGACAGAAACACTGATGTGCAGCCCTCCATGGAAATCCCCAGCCTGCAATGCAAAGCAACTGGGCCTTCAAAAGAAGCTACTCCTCTAACAGATCACCGAGGCCCTGGAAGCAATTGTGGGAGGTTCTACACAGCCCACAACCCCCTCGTGAAACTAGTAAGGATAATGTTAGTAGTGAGACTAGGAACTCCCACCCAGAAATATGTTTCTCCCTGAAGCCAAAATGTTCTAGATGGCCCTCCCTGCTCCCCAGGGTCATAGCTGGGTGGGTCAGGAGCGGAGACCTAACCCACATAAGGCCAATTCCATTATTTTTCCTGGGGACTTACAGTTGAGACCAAGCCTTGCAAGCCACTCTGTGGAGGGCCTGGAGCTGAGTATATGTGAAACCCAGGACAGGCCGAGAAAGGTGGGCTGCAGAGAGGGAAGAACAAAGCCAATGAACAAAGAGAGGGAACCCACAGGCCCAAGAGAGGAAAGGGGAGGGGGGCTCCCTTGGTTGTTGGTGCCCCTTCAGCTTCTGGTGCCTGGAGGCCCAGCAACAGCTGCTCTCTTGGGTTCTGCTAAATAATTTTCACCTTCCTACCAAAGTCAGCTTATCTGTTTTGTCTAGATGAAGTGAGTTTCCATTGCTTATACTTGCCCCCACTCCCAAAAAAGCTCCAAAGCCCTGACCAATACAGGTCTTATTTGTACAGTCGTTCTTGCGATATCTCTGGATTTCATATCCATGAAATCTAACACCTGCATCTGCCTCATGGTAAAAACTGCTCTGGTCATCATATCTAACACTTCTCCAGGCTGCTGGGAAGATTAAAAGCCCACGTGTTGCAGAAAACTGTTATCATTTATCAGCTGACCCCATGCTCACCTTAGATGACAGAGCAGAGTCCCAGCTGGCTACAGCGTCCCAAAACTGTTCAGACCATATTTTATTTCTTTAATCTGCTCTGTTTCCAGCCTGCTGCAGAGGTAACTTAACAGAACATTTGAGAAACACTTGACATCTGTTCCCAAAGGGTCTTCATACAAACTCCCCTCTTGATACCAGAGGAGACAACAAAGCTCGGGCAGATTTATTAGGAAGACTGAAAGGTCAGGCATGAGGAGGAAGCAGCAGGCAGTGTGCCACCGCAGGAAATCATTCTTACCAGGAGAAGGAGACAGGGAGATGACACTGTCACGACCACCCAGTCATCTTGCCTGCCTGGAATTTTAT